TGTTACAAATTTGGGTATTGTTTATTTTGAGATTTATTTGATTAGAGGATTTATTGCCAAACAGAATATAGAAAGTTTTGTCAATGTTAAGGGTGAGTTTGTTGGCAGTTAGCCAAAGATGGACTTTATTTAGCTCAGTATTTACTGTGGCATTTAGAGCAAGGGGGTCAGGACTGGAGTAAATGAAGGTTGTGTCGTCAGCAAATAGAATTGGTTTGAGGTGTTGGGAGGCATTTGGAAGGTCATTAATGTAGATGAGAAAGAGGAGAGGGCCAAGTATGCTGCCCTGAGGAACACCAATGTTGATGGGTAGGGTGGGAGAAATTGAATTATTCACAGAAACATACTGGAGCCTGTCAGTAAGGTAGGATTTGAGGTATTGCAGGGAGTGTCCTCTGACTCCATAATGATGTAATTTAAGAAGAAGGTTTTGGTGGTTGACAGTGTCAAAAGCTTTACGCAGGTCCACAAATAACCCAACAGGGAACTCATTTTTATCAAGAGCTGTATGAATCGAGTTAAGCATACTAATAAGTGCATCGTTAGTGCTTTTTTTGGGTCTGAAGCCATATTGGCAAGGGCTAAGTATATTGTGTTTGGCTAGATAAGAGTAAAGCTGCTTATAGATTAGTTTTTCAAAAATTTTTGACAAGTTTGGCAGGATTGATATAGGTCTGTAGTTGTTAACATCTGTGAGATCACCACATTTGTGGACAGGCGTTACTCTCGCTTTTTTAGAATATCTGGAAAGGTTTGGAGTTCAAGTGACTTGTTGAAGAGCAATGCAATAGCAGGGGCTAAAGATCTGGAGGCTTTTTTGTAAATTAAAGTTGGTATCTCCTCAAGGGCACTAGACTTGGTTTTAAGGGAAAGGATTATCTCATTGACGTCAGTGGAATTGATAGGCTTTAGGTACAGAGACTGTGGATAGTTACCTGTAAGATAGTCCTTAACGTCAGTACTGGAAGATGGAATATCATTTGCAAGGGATGACCCAATGGAAGAGAAGAACCTATTGAACTCAATAGCAGAATCAGAGGCTGAAAGCTGACCATCGTTATTGGACAGGAGTGTTGGTTTGTTATTTAAAGTCTTCTTTGATCCCAATATTTGTGAAATTGTGCTCCAAGTTTTTTTAATGTTGCTCTTTATTTGGGTAAATTTATCTTCGTAGTATTTAGTTTTGGCTCGTCTAATTATTTTAGATAGCAATAATGAGCAATTCTTTGAGAATTCTTTGGAGACAATTCCTAACCTCTTCCTCAATTCCTAACCTCTATTCCTAATTTCCTCTAGAATGTTTAATATCAACTAAATAAGGGAGTTCCAGTAAGTAGTAGTTTACTACGAAATTAAACTTATTAGCAAGTTAACTATTTTTAGTAAAGGAAATGATAAACTGGACCTAGATTCAGGAAGCTCCATGTATTTCTTCGTAAGTAGGTTTGCTACGAAGGTTCCTAAGGGTGCCCTAAGAAGATGCTTAGGTGCAATTCAAGTACGTCCACTTAGGAAGATATTTGTTGGTTCACCTGCGTGCCGATAGAGGTCACTACTGTGTTTCGTTTGGCCAATCAGAGAGCAGCAACATTCTTCATATTGAAGATTTAGCGCTGGCTTATCGGAGCTCTACTGCCTCCTATTTACGTCGAATTTTCTTATAAAATTAGTATATTTCGAAGTAAAACTGTTTTTTTCTACTTTTACAGCCAGCACCGACATTGTAGTAAACAAATATGTTACATTTGTTGTTTACCTACGTAATTCTAAGAGATACTGTGTAGCTGTCCTTGTTGCTCGGAAGATGCGCTGACAATTATTGTACATATTTACTGAATTTACCCAAGGGCCACTAACTATCTAGTGGCCTCGAAGAGGACAGAAAGCCGGCGGCTTGTTAAAGGGCCCGCCAATTGTCTTAAAGATATTTTTTAGCTGGAATTTGGCATTTACGGCTTCAGCGGGTAGGCGGTTCCATGGGTTTATAACTCTCTTGGTGGAAAAAACATTTGTTTTCAGTCCTACTTGAGAGAACATACTCTCCAACACTATATCTGTGATTGCCTTGTTATCAGTGACTTCATACCAAATGGTATGAGGTATTTTGAGCTCTGTAATTACTTCATACACTCAGGAATATTGGAAGATATTCTTGTGCTGCACCCAGATTTTGCCAGTGGAGGCTAATAGATCAGCATTAAGTATTTTGCTCTCTCCTAATTCCATGTATGACTGGCCATCCTGTGAGGTGAGGATGTTGGATGAGCTTGTAGCTGGTTTTTGATCTACACTGTGTGGTCCTTCATACAGAATAGGGAAGCAGCACATTGCTGTGTATACCTAAACATGTTAAAAAATACATTGTTTGAGAGGAGTCTTGTAGAAACTGGTAAGAGTAATTATAATATAATGTTTCCATGATTCAGTGCTTACCTCTTGTGAAAATCGCGAAGAGTTGTTTAGTCAGAGTTGATTTGTTTTTTTGTATTGAGGCTGGTATTTTCTAAATTGATTCCATGTATGTCTAACCATCCTGTGAGATGGGAGTATTAGATAAACTTATAGCTAGTTTTTGATCTACACTGTAATATTCCATATAGAATAGGGTAGCAGCACATTGCTGTGTATACCTAATCTTCATGATCTTTCTAATGATCTTCATGATCTCCTAATCTTTCACTGCCCGAAACGCTTTGCGTAATAGTGGCTTTAGGCATTGTATGTACTAGCTCTATCTATTAACCCAACAAACTTTGTAAAATCTCTTTATGTATATACCTTACCTAAATAAAAATTATTATTATTATTATTATAATCTTCTTAATAAAAAAAATCAGTAATAAAGATTTTAAATTATAGTTTGTATTATTACAAATACAGTACTGTATTATCCTTATTAAATCATGTTGACCATGGATCGTTAAGATCTCATGTTGATATGTAATAGTCATATTTCTTTTGAACTGCTAATTCATGCGAATCATTCATTAAATTGTGCATTATGTCTCAATTTTTCACTTCCTTGGATATACTGTACAGTACAAAAAGATAGGATAAAAATAAACCAGTAATATTTCTTTCATTATATTTTTTATTTAAATAACTGCATCAATATGTTTACAGCTGACAGGATTTGTTTTACCATACAGGTGCATTATTTGTTAAAAAAGAAATTTGGTTTATTGTTACACACAATGGTGCTACATAGCCTTCCCAACTTGGTGCCTTCTTTTAATACTTACTGATTAAAAAATAAATAATAAATACATTTTATTCAGGAAAAGTACATACAGTTGATTTACAAACATAATGTTGGATTTATTGACAGAGCTAGAACATACAATACCTAAAGCCACTAATACTCATAGCATTTCGGGCAAGGTGTGGGGGAAAAAACTCAGACTAAAACTTAATAGTAATCGGGATTAGGTATAAATTGTGTTTAAAGAAGGAATAAACAATACAAAAAGAGGGGTTAACATAGCATAAATCAGCAATTGCACATGTTGGTGAACAGCGTTGTTTAAAAAATAGCAAGACATGGGTTAAGATTTAGGGGGTAAGTTAGGTTACATGGAGTTAATTAGGCAGTACTTTGTTTAACTCCTAAACTGGTTGAGAGAGGTACAGCCTTTGACATGATTCGGGAGGTCATTCCACATTCTGGGTCCCTTGATTTGTAGAGCACTTCTAGTTTGGTTACACACAGCCAAATTATGTAACAGGAAGAGGTCTTGGACACAAATTTGTTCCATGCTAAATGTAGAGGAATCAGCTGAGTATTCCTCAAATAAAATAAGTTGCCTCAGCTTATAAGGTAAATAAAATAAGCATTTCTCAAATAAGTAGCTGCCTCACCTCACTGCCTTACTGCTACATAACCTTCCCGGCATGGTGCCTTCTTTTGATAATTACTTGTTCCACACCCAAATTGTATAACAGGAAGAGGTCTTGGACCCCTACTTCCCTCTCTTTTTTAATAGTCTATATAGTCATAATTATAGCTTTAAGTATTCAATGAATAAAGTTTTTGACATTTTTACCCTTCTCCTTACCTAACATCATTTGTGCAGCATATTTTTATTTTTTGTCTCACCCAGATTTAATTTCAAAATAAAACCAAACTAAATAAATTAGAAACGGGTATGTATTGCTAAGATACACCCTTACTACTAGGTGAACAGGGGCATTTGGTGATAGTAAATGATCCCATCAGGCAGGGCTCATCACCTTCTCTCATATTTCATGTTCACCATTGTTTATTTACTTAATAACTACTGGTATAATATCTTGCTATTATAAAAACTAATTCTACTATCATAAAATACATATTTACTTCAAGTTTCAAGCAGAGAATGCATATATAGCTAACACGAAGGACTCCTCTTGACGAAATTCACCAGCTATATTTTGTTCATGTTCCAAAATCTTAAAATCGATCCCAGTGTTATGTAGTAGAGAAAAATTGAGTTATATCCAGTTTACGTAAAGCTACGAGTGGTCGAAACCACACTTAGATCCCGGACCACACTTACGAAGGTTTTTCCACTTAGTGCAGCTACCTGAATAACGACGTAGCCGCTACGAAGGCACTAAGAAGGAAAACATTCGTAGCTAAGAAGAAAAGCCTTCGTAAGTACCTTCGTGAATCTGGCCCTGGACTCTTATAAATCCAACTAAATGTGGAGAGAATTCATGTTACTGCCTGTCGTTCCTCACGTCGTCACTCTGACTAGGAAGAATCTGGCAATATGTTTAATTAAATCATGATAATGATTAAATCTACAAGTTTGCAGTAACTACTTTCATTTTAGTAACTACTTGTGGTTAATACAAAGGTTGCATAAAATACAAAGATGTATAAAACTGTTGGATATATATATATATATATATATATATATATATATATATATATATATATATATATATATATATATATATAATGTAATGAATGTTTATGCGTATGAGATATATTATAATATATAGTTCACCTGTAACAGATGCTGGCTTCAACACGAGTGTAGTGTCAGCAAAATGGTGTCTGCCCCAGCCACGGTACCTGCCCCTGCCTCCAGACAACCAGCGGAGTGAGTATCTGGCTCAACACTGCCATAAGCATCCCTTGCTGATGTGTCTTAAGCAGCCTCTTTGGTCACATTTGACTCTTTTTTTGTGAGTGAGTGAGTGAGTGAGTGAGTGAGTGAGTGAGAGAGAGAGAGAGAGAGAGAGAGAGAGAGAGAGAGAGAGAGAGAGAGAGAGAGAGAGAGAGAGAGAGAGAGAGTACATGAGAAAAAGAATTTAGGACGGATGAATGAATGGACGGAGGCAGGGAATGAGAGAGAATGACAGGATGGGAGGGATAGAGACAGATTCGATGTTTGCTAGACGAGTCATGCCGATTGCTTTGGGAGAAAAAATCCTATCATACATCTTTATGATGTTTGATAAAATAATTTCATCCCAACTGCGTCCCATTGAGGGTAGCAGCCTTACAGCTCGTCGGGTTCTCACACTCACCCACGGTACTGTGGTGCTGGTACCATGTTTCGAGGAACCAACACTTTCAGTAAGACTGAAATTCTCGGCATCCTAGCTGGAATCACCGACGTCGTACCAATCGACATCGTTAATGACGGCGTGGTCACCACCTCCTCTTCAGCAATGCAGAGGGTCTACAGTGGCTGTTCACCCCAATCAGAAGGCATAGATAAGGAGACTCTTCCATCGCTACTGCATCCCGTTGAAGGGGTAGCAGCTGAGTCAAACGACACCGCCACAATGCGCCAGAAACGCTACAAAGTCAGGGCCGAAGTCCTCGACAACCATGCTACACCAAGAAAGATCTCCTGAAGGTCATCAAAACAATCGACATTGGTCAAAAAGGTGTGGAAATTGTGCTTTACTTCTCGAGCGAGGAGGACCTTGAAAATCTGCTGGACACCGAAGGAGAACTGTGCCAAGCTCACCTCAGTCTCAACTACCCAAGAGGGTTCCTTGCTGCAAGATCTGTCTTCATCAGCCTGACCAGCTACTGGATCGGGGACAAAGGATTACGAGATGTACTTGCCGACGTCGAGGAAGAAAACCAGAACATGAGTGTGTTTTCCGGGGTGTTCCTCGGCCGTACAGACGACAAGCGTCCAACCATGAAGCTAACATTCACCACAATAGCTGCAACTACCCAGGCCACTACACAAGGATTCAACTGCTTTGGCATCAAGATCTCGGCCCACCGTGTTAGGAAGGAACGCTTCTACGACATACCTCAATGCTTCAAGTGGTATGCCTACACTCACCCAACCAGCAAGTGCCAGCATCCCATCGTGAAGTGCAGCATCTGCGCTCAGAACCACCGTTTCTCAGTCTGTAAAGCGGACACCAAATGCTGCCTGAACTGCAATGGTGATCACTCTGCGATTTCCCACCTTTGCCCTCCCAGACAAGAAGTCATCGAACGCCTGGTCGAGTCATCGAAAACTAAAACCTCAACATCTACCGCCGCCGCTAGCGTCACCAATACCAGCTCCAGCACCTCAGCTCCCAGCAACCAAACCAGAAGACTTCCCCGCCTTACCACACAGAGGCCCCACCAGCCAGACATCCTAGCCTGCTCATTGGTGAACCAGCGACTAATCAGCACCCTCTCAACCTCGTGCCTCATGTGATAGGATTATCCCCGGACTCATCTGTCTTGCAGAGAGACTGACTGAACCAGACATCGTCGGTTCGTCACCGAACTCAACGCCTTGTACCTTGCCAACGGCCTGGACCTCCCATCATCGCCCCTGAGGCCAGACTAGCTGCATCTCCTACCAACACAAGGACTACTACAAGGACGACCTGAACCCAGACTCCAGCTCCATTCAAGATCCAGGACGCACAAACGGAAACACCCACCACCCCGGTTCCCAACGTCCCCACAATCATCATCACAGCCGACGCGCTCGTCTACACCTGCAAGCAACACCACCAACGCTCCCGCGGCAGCTGCAACCTCCACTCCACGACACCAGAACCGAAGACTGAACCACCAGCTCCAGACGACGATTCGGACTCTTCAGACGAGGAAATCTCAGTAGGAGCCACTCAGTGCCATCGCCACACCCACCATTCAACACCTACTTGGTGCGAGACTTCCTCATGGAGCCCTCCTCACCAAACTCCAACGACAGCGCAAGCAAGTTTCAGACGAAAAAAAACAGAAGACCCAGAAATACGAGAAAACTTTGCACACGGACACAACCACCTGCAGCTGAAGCAAGAAGCCTGAAGATAGAAGTCAGACGAAGAACCAAGACTGAGACGTCTCCACCCGACGCCTACACACACACACCACAGACCCAGGGCTTATTTACTATCTGTCACTATCTTCTTCTGTCTTTATCTGTCTCTGCTTGTCTCTGACTTTACATGTCTCTCTGACTGTTTGTATGTTCCTGTCGCTTATTATAACAAAATTAATTTCCTAGAGTTTAGTTGATCGCCAGCGAAAGGAACTTAGCAATGAGAAATAATGAAAAATAGAATATTAATCATGTAATCCAGTGTCATGTCGCCCATTACTGGTATCATATTAGTAACTGAAGCTGATATTCTTCAGTTTTATATCTTGCAGGTTAACTAGGCTTTATATAGACTACTAGGGGAAGGTATCCGGCTCTGTTCCGCTTCCCTTCCCTTTTTCCCTCCTCCTCCTCCCCCAGTCTCTCTCATCTTTCTTTCACTGTCTCCCACATATTCAACGTTCTCCCATCTCACTACTCTCCTTCCCTCTCTTCAACTCTCTCTCACCCTCTCTACCTTTCTTCCCTCTCCATTGCTCACACTTCTCGCCCCTCTCCTAATCTTCCCCACTCTCACCTCTTCCATTCTCAACCTGTCTCCCCTCTCTCCATCCCTCTCTTCAAGTATACCCCTTTCCCTTACTCTTTTGAAATATCCTCCTTCTCCTTTCCACATTTCAACATCCCCCTCTTACCCCCCCCCCTTATCCTTCTTTTCCTATCTCTGTTTCTGTCGTTCTCTGTGTCTTATTCTCTGTCTCTGTGTATTGTTGTCTGTGTCTTATTCTCTGTATTCCTGTCTCTCTCACTCTCTCTCGTTTTCTCATTGCCCTGATCGACCCGGTCTCTATGCAGGCACTCTGTCTGTCTGTCTTTTTGCTGAATTTCTGTCCAAGTCTCTCTTTCTTATAAAGTAATATAATAGTCTACCATTATCATATGGTTGGTTCACCTAGTGGTGTTATATATTCACAATATAGAAGAGTTATCCAAATTGCTATGAGAAAGGTTTTTTTATTTATTTTTTTAACAGTCATAAGTATACACAGGGGCCTCGTAGCCTGGTGGATAGCGCGCAGGACTCGTAATTCTGTGGCGCGGGTTCGATTCCCGCACGAGGCAGAAACAAATGGGCAAAGTTTCTTTCACCCTAAGTGCCCCTGTTACCTAGCAGTAAATAGCTACCTGGGAGTTAGTCAGCTGTCACGGGCTGCTTCCTGGGGTGTGTGTGGTGTGGAGAGAAAAAAGAAAAAAAAAAGAAAAAAAAGAAAAGTAGTTAGTAAACAGTTGATTGACAGTTGAGAGGCGGGCCGAAAGAGCAAAGCTCAACCCGCGCAAAAACACAACTAGTAAACACAGCAACGTGCTGCTACCCTGTTCTGTATGAAAGATTACACAGTGTAGATAAAAAAAACTAGCTATAAGTTCACCTAATATTCCCATCTCACAGGACGGTTATTCATACTTGGAATCAGGGGGAGAAATTATGTCTCAATACAAAAACCAACCAACTCTGACTAAACAACTAGTTATAAGTTAGGGGCGGGGTCTGAGAAAGCCGTTGAAGCTGTGAGAGAAACGTCTGTTTTATGCTACTACAAAAATTATGTCAATTTTACCGAAATCAGGGAATAATTACTATTTACAACAAAAAAATGATGTTAATTATCCCGAAATCAGTGAATAATTACAATTTACGACAAAAAATGTATGTTAATTTTCCCGAAATCAGTGAATTATTACTATTTACAACACAAAATTTATGTTAATTTCCCGAAATCAGTGAATAATTACTACTTACAACAAAGATTTGTTTCCTTTCAAAATATAACCTTCAAATATATAACCTTCAATTCAAACAAATATTCAACCTTCTTGTCAATATGGCTTCAGACCCAAAAAAAGCACTAACGATGCACTTATTAGTATGATTAACTTAATTCACGCAGCTCTTGATAAAAAGGAGTTTCCTGTTGGGTTATTTGTGGACCTGCGTAAGGCTTTTGACACTGTCAACCATCAAAACCTTCTTCTTAAATTACATCATTATGGAGTCAGAGGACACTCCCTGCAATACCTCAAATCTTATCTTACTGACAGGCTCCAGTATGTTTCTGTGAATAATACAATTTCTCCCACCCTACCCATCAACATTGGTGTTCCTCAGGGCAGCATACTTGGCCCTCTCCTCTTTCTCATCTACATTAATGACCTTCCAAATGCCTCCCAACACCTCAAACCAATTCTATTTGCTGACGACACAACCTTCATTTACTCCAGTCCTGACCCCCTTGCTCTAAATGCCACAGTAAATACTGAGCTAGAGAAAGTCCATCTTTGGCTAACTGCCAACAAACTCACCCTTAACATTGACAAAACGTTTTATATTCTGTTTGGCAATAAATCCTCTAATCAGATAAATCTCAAAATAAACAATACCCAAATTTGTAACAAATTAGATGGCAAATTCCTTGGCGTTCTCATCGACCACAAGCTGAATTTCCAGGGTCACATTCTAAATATATCAAAAAAAGTTTCAAAAACTGTTGGCATTCTTTCTAAGATCAGATATTATGTACCCCGCCCTGCCCTGGTTACTCTCTATTACTCCCTCATCTATCCATACCTCAACTATGGTATTTGTGCTTGGGGTTCTACTACCCAAAATCATTTACGTCCTCTTATTACCCAACACAAAGCTGCTATTAGGACAATATCCAACTCTGGCCCCAGACATCACTCGGTACCCTTACTCAAATCTCTGAATATGTTAGATATTAAGTCACTGCACATTCTCTCTTGTGTATTATACATATATAAAACGCTGAACTGTAATGCCAATCCTGACCTCAAAAGCTTCATTGAAGGTTGTAACAGAACCCATGAGCACCACACCAGGAATAAATACAGTTTTGATATTCCTAGAGTACGACTTAATCAAACTAGAAATGCTCTACAAATCAAGGGACTCAGAATGTGGAATGACCTTCCCAACCATGTTAAAGACTGTACCTCTCTCAACCAGTTTAAGATAAAAACTAAACACTACCTAATAAATTCCCTGTAACCCACCTCACTCCTTTATTGTCAACCCATGTCTGTTATTTTATTATTATTATTTTTTTTTAATCAACACTGTTTGTCAACCTATTGTATTTGTGCTGCTTTTTCAGTCATGTTCCCCCTTTTTTTTATCTTTATTTGTATTTGTTTTCAACACTTTTTATTCTTTATGCTCAATTAGTATTAAGTTCTAGATATTAATGTTTTTCTTGCCCGAAACGCATTGCGTAATAGTGGCTTTAGGCATTGTATGTACTAGCTCTATCTATATATCAATCCATTAATGTAACATCACTTGTATGTATGTACCTTACCTGAATAAACATATTTATTATTTATTTATTTAAAAGCTAGGTTATACCAAGAAGTATATTTTTGTAAGTCAAATAGTTTAGAAGTTCTATGTCAACTTAACAGTCTCCGTGGTGTAGTGGTAAGACACTCGCCTGGCGTTCCGCGAGCGCTATGTCATGGGTTCGTATCCTGGCCGGGGAGGATTTACTGGGCGCAATTCCTTAACTGTAGCCTCTGTTTAACGCAACAGTAAAATGTGTACTTGGATGAAAAAACGATTCTTCGCGGCGGGGATCGTATTCCAGGGACCATAGGATTAAGGACTTGCCCGAAACGCTACGCGTACTAGTGGCTGTACAAGAATGTAACAACTCTTGTATATATCAAAAAAAAAAAAAAACTATGATGCTGCTTATTAGTGCCAGAGTATAATGATAATGGTGTCCTAATTCCTCTTGCAGACTGCTCACTGCCTTATGTCACAATGAACACAGGGGGTCAGTTAGGCAACAAACTCTGCCAGTACTTGTCCTTAGTCTTGATAAGGAGGGTCTTCGGCGTAAGGGTGAGTAACAGTATTCTTCTATATCAGCACTATTGTTTAATATTTGTATGGGATGAAATGTCCCAGCAATGGTATTGTGAATAGTATTAAGAACAAATGTTAGCAAGGATCAGAGACTCTTTAACTACTGTTATGAAAATGTTACTTACCATGGGAAGGTGGTATTGAGAAGGCCTAAGGAAGAACTAGGAGTTCCTAAAATCACTGAAGATCAGATAGGCCCAGCCCCCCCAATAAGAACATAAAACACTATTAAATTATTGGCTTCAAAATAAATACGTCAGTCTAGCAGCAGATCACTGTTCCGCTACACAGGAAGAATGGATACTCCTTTAATAGTACTTATTTATTAAACCCTCTTATAACCCCTCATATACAGTAATAACAATAACTACTTTACCACTGTTACGGTGCCCTCTCCTATTTCTTCCGTTTGCCGGCTTAAAGAGTCATATCAGCTCTCCCTACTGATTCTCTGAGGTTCAGGGAGTCTAATGATATATGTGGCGACCAGACCGGCTGCCAGTTAAGGGAAGGGAGTTATATTATAAGTCGTAAATAAAGGAAAATTGGCGCCCTGTTATAAAATGAAACAGTATCCCCTACGGCAGATATGACCTTTTGGAAGGGACACAAGCCGATCGCGGATTGGCCGACGTAGGTCGCGGGCGACAAATCAGGGCCCGCCATGACGTCACCGAGTGCCCCGGGCGGCGCCAACGTCAGAGTTGTACTGACCGTGGAAGCGACAGGACGCGCCTCGGTCGGCTCTCAGGGATTGGAGGCTCTGCAAGCCTTGTTCAGTGGATTGAGCTGGCTGTCGCAGTCATCCCAGTTATTGGAGACCTTGCGCTTCTGGGAAGCAAAAGAGGAACCAAGTTCAGTGAGCAGAGAAGTGCCCAAACTTGGAAAATAGTCGGCGACGACGCTGGGCGGCGCCGCTGGCTGGACGTTGAGGTCTGGAAGGTGGGCGAGCAAGCTAGCTGTGACTGGGGTCACATCCACTGAGAATCTTGGAAGGACGACACCGTGCCTAGGACAAGGAGCGACGCCCTGTGGGAGAGGCGAGTGTGGGGAAAAATAGTGATTAGCTCAGCGCCCATCGATGAACCAGGATTGGGGCAGCTGAATCTCAGGGATTGGAACGGCGACGACGCGAAGGCTTCACGACACCTGAGGACCTGTGGAACGCCCTGGATCGTCGAGGATCGACCCAAGGAAGCGTGGGACCCTCACACCATCGAGGGACAGGCGTCGTGAGCCAGGAGTGTAAGGTAGATCATTTTCCCTCCCATTACCCCTTGTATGAGTAGGCTAGTTAGGCCACAATATTTACTTGTGTATGTGGCAGCAAGACTTTATTACTTTAATAGTAGAATAGGCTGCAAGGCAGCTTGTGTCCAGGACTGTCAGAGAGGACAGTGTGTATGGATGGCAGGACAGTGAAGAAGAGGTGCCGACGTGGTGAAGAGGCCCTCCTGTGAGAGTGTGAGACTCCTGTCTTCCTGCCCAGTTGAAGGAGAGTTGGAGGTCGTGGAAGAAGAGGCTGACGATCTCCAGACTCATTATCCATATTCCATATTCATGTATTACTTGTGATTGTGTGTGTGTGTTCATGTAATTTGCGTCAGTAAATCCACACATTTTATTACTGTGTTTGAGTGTGCCTCCATTTGTGATACTTCTCTATGAGCATACATTTCTGGCTACAAACGATATATGATACACCCACTGAACTGCATTGCTGGGGTGCAGATATAATAACCCAGCTGGCGACCTTGCTAAGAGGAAGATAGAGAAGACAGGCGGGAAAGGAGTTCCTGCAACCTTTTTTTTGTCTGGCAGGCAAGACTCAGGGAGGTTATGGTTATAGGTAAGCCTGAGTCTTCCTTCACTCCCCCACGGGTCTAGGCCGGAACCGTTAACAGCAGTTTCCCCGTGTCTGACTGAAGGGCTTCCAGGGTGAATCAGTGGCACCCCTTTGTGGTGGAAGCAAAGACCTGCGGAGGTGGGCATTGTTGGTCCTCTCTTGTGTGACCAAGGAGACTCCGGTGAATCCCGGGAGTCGGAGGGGCTGAGTATTTGGGCCTTTGAGCCCCTAGCAGCCGAGTGTTAGCAGAGCCCCGGACCGCCCACCCCCACGTGACAAGAGAACTGGCGACCTCGCCAGGATTCGAACCCCAGTAGCCAAGAACTGGGAACTTCGCCAGGAAGCGTGGATCAAGCTACAGTGTGGACCAAATTGCAAGACAAGTGTTGCCAGGGTACTAATACAGTGTGGCCAGTGAATTCGGTGGTACTGTTACTCAACCAGCTAAGGGACTGAAACGGTGAAATTAGTGCCTACTAACTTGTCTGTGCTGTCGTGTATGCTCAATGATATAGAGATGGAGGAAGACAAAGTAAAGAAATTTATTGACACAAGGGACGAGAGAAATTTGGAAGAGTGTACCAAGGCCCAGCTCCAACAAGTGGCAAACCACTTTGGGATCAGGTTGAGGACGACTAAGGTAGCGGAGCGAAGGATAGAGATCATGGCACAGCTCACAGCTCGAGAGGAAGCGACGGGAGAGGAGCCATCTCAAGAGGAGCCGTCCCGAGGAGAGCCGTCGCGAGGTGAATCGTCCCGACTAGGGCCACCCCAAGCGCCTACCAGTGTGGAGAGAATTCACAGTGAACATGGGAGCAGTGGAAGGTCCAGCTGTAGTAAGAGGAGCCTGCAACTGGAAATAATGAAGATGCAACTGGAAGCCCAGCTGCGACGAGAGGAAAGAGAAGCGCAAATGCAGCGAGAGGAACGTGCAGCTGAGCTGCAGCGAGGTGAGCGAGAAGCACGGCTGCGGCTGCAGCGAGAAGAAGGAGAGAGACAACTGCGACTGGAGGAGATAAAGGCAAAGAAAGAAGTCGAATTGCGTCGCGTTGAACGTGGTCTGCCCTCACTACCTGCACGGCGGGATGACCTCAAGGTAAGGGAACGTGACTTACCTACGTTCGAACCACAAGAAGCTGAGGCGTTCTTCGAACACTTTGAACGGATAGCGACTCTGAAGGAGTGGCCGGAAGATGATTGGGCTGCTCTGGTCCAGGGCAGGTTGACTGGAGAGGCCCGGGAAGCCTATAACATGCTGGACCTAGAGGAGTGTACTAGTTATGACGCGATTAAGAATGCGGTTCTCCACTCATTCCGGCTGACTCCGGAGATGTACCGGAAGCGGTTCAGAGAGTGTACAAGAGCGTCGGGAAAGACTTACGCCGAGACCGCCAGGGAGATGGAACGGAAATTCCTACGATGGTTGAAGGCGGAGGAAGCGGAGTCGGTGGATGATGTTAAACGACTGATAGTGATGGAGAAGTTCATGTCGGTGCTCCATCCTGAGTTGCGAGTAAGGGTGAGAGAAGCAGGTATTAAGGACCTGAAGGCTGCAGCGGACCGAGCCGACATGCTGGAGGAGGCACTACATATCAGGAGGGAGGGGCCGCCCAGACACTCGCCTTACCCCAGGTCGGGAGGGAACCTTAGGAGTTCAGGAGGAGCGAGGACGGGTGGGGACTCTCCCAAGGGTAGTGTGCCCGATGAAGTAACGTGGTTCAAGGGCTCAAGAGACGCAGGGAGGAAGCCCCAAGCTGTGAGCAGTGGACCTAACTCGGGAGCAAGTGATGCAGTCCCGGATACGACGACAAGGAGTCCAAGGAGGACACAGGGGACGTCTGCAAGTGGTACCGCCAGAGTGACTAGCGAGTGGCCGCCCAGGGGAGGCAGCCGATGCTACAACTGTGGTGTGAGAGGACATTATGCCCGCGAGTGTGAGGAGCACCAAAGGAATGTAGGATTAATGTTGGAAGAGGAGAGAGTGTTTGTTCACACCCCATATTATAGTGGACCCAACGTGAATGGTTGGGAAATGAAGTTGGGTGAACATCCCTTCGTTTTCGAGGCCAACGTGAAGTTTGGAAAGTCAGACCCAGTGAAGGTTGCCGTGCTTCGAGATACGGGTGCTGACATAAGGATGGTGACCAGGAGTATTCTCCCCAAGGAATTTAATGATTCACCTGTGGGAGTGGTGAGGATATGCAGTGTGGGGGAGGAATACAGGTTGCCACTTCACGAAGTACAGCTGATTGCCGACTGCGGAGTCGAGAAAGCTATAGTAGCTGTAGCCCCTAAGTTACCCCTAGAGCATGTACAGATGGTGCTGGGTAATGACCTCGGAGGAGGCAGGATACAACCCGATTGGGCCAGGAGTGCTTATGTTGCAAGCAGCGGTACAACCCTGCCGGGTGAGGTATCGGTCGTTCCAGATGGTGGTGAGGAAGCCGACTTTGCCAGGGAAAACGTCGCCAGAGACGACGACAACGAGGGCGAGAGTGCAGAGAGGTCGTCGGAGGTTGTGGAAAGCCCCGACGGGGACCTCCGACTAAGTCTGATGATGCGTGTGGAGGAGTGGCGAGGAGCAGCTGTACAAACGCCTGGGGCGGTGAAGAGGCTGCAGACCGCACTCCCTCCATACAGAAACGTGAATAAAGTAAGCTCAGTGGATGAGCGAACGGCAGTGAGGGGCAGAGTGGAGGAGCCACGACGCAGTGCACCCTATGCCGGCCAGATGAATAGTGGTAGGTGCAAGATAAACCACCATAGTGAGGTGAGCCACAGGGAGGTGGATGAGCCCAACCACGAACCGAAGAAGACGTCTGCAGGGAAGAGAATCTCCTGGAGGAGTGAAGATGTTCGTCGGGAACGAAGGAGCGAGTGGTATAGGAAAGGCAATACGAAGAAAGCAGGGAATAGGTACACCCAGGGTGGGCGCCAGCCTAACCAGAGGGGCATTGGGCCATCGCAAAAGCCTAGTGTGGAAGAGAGGAAGCTGCTGGATGGAATACAGGTTACAAGTGCCACTGTGAGGAGACAACGCACCTACGGGAGAAGAGGAACCGAGAAGAGAGAAGATTGGCGAAGAGGAGATCATGAGAGGAAACATGGAGTACCTGTAGGACGCAATGGAAATGCAAGACTATCTCGGAGTGAACGACGCGATGGAGGCGCTGCATGCACTGAATATTACAGTGGTAACGAGCCGTGGGAGTACACTCGTAGCCACGGAGAGGGGATTTCATGTAGGTGTTCAGGGAACACCCACCACACCCGGTACTATGCGAGGTGGAGATACAATGAGGCAAGTGACTGGCAAGGTGGTACGAGCCACGTCACCAACTGGAGGAGTGACACTTCAGGAACGGAGGGAGCAAGAGTATAGATTGCCCTCTTGAATGCTGCTCTTCCGATGACTCTTATTTTAAGGGGAGGGGTATGTTACGGTGCCCTCTCCTATTTCTTCCGTTTGCCGGCTTAAAGAGTCATATCAGCTCTCCCTACTGATTCTCTGAGGTTCAGGGAGTCTAATGATATATGTGGCGACCAGACCGGCTGCCAGTTAAGGGGGGGAAGTTATATTATAAGTTGTAAATAAAGGAAAATTGGCGCCCTGTTATAAAATGAAACAGTATCCCCTACGGCAGATATGACCTTTTGGAAGGGAGACAAGCCGATCGCGGATTGGCCGACGTAGGTCGCGGGCGACAAATCAGGGCCCGCCATGACGTCACCGAGTGCCCCGGGCGGCGCCAACGTCAGAGTTGTACTGACCGTGGAAGCGACAGGACGCGCCTCGGTCGGCTCTCAGGGATTGGAGGCTCTGCAAGCCTTGTTCAGTGGATTGAGCTGGCTGTCGCAGTCATCCCAGTTATTGGAGACCTTGCGCTTCTGGGAAGCAAAAGAGGAACCAAGTTCAGTGAGCAGAGAAGTGCCCAAACTTGGAAAATAGTCGGCGACGACGCTGGGCGGCGCCGCTGGCTGGACGTTGAGGTCTGGAAGGTGGGCGAGCAAGCTAGCTGTGACTGGGGTCACATCCACTGAGAATCTTGGAAGGACGACACCGTGCCTAGGACAAGGAGCGACGCCCTGTGGGAGAGGCGAGTGTGGGGAAAAATAGTGATTAGCTCAGCGCCCATCGATGAACCAGGATTGGGGCAGCTGAATCTCAGGGATTGGAACGGCGACGACGCGAAGGCTTCACGACACCTGAGGACCTGTGGAACGCCCTGGATCGTCGAGGATCGACCCAAGGAAGCGTGGGACCCTCACACCATCGAGGGACAGGCGTCGTGAGCCAGGAGTGTAAGGTAGATCATTTTCCCTCCCATTACCCCTTGTATGAGTAGGCTAGTTAGGCCACAATATTTACTTGTGTATGTGGCAGCAAGACTTTATTACTTTAATAGTAGAATAGGCTGCAAGGCAGCTTGTGTCCAGGACTGTCAGAGAGGACAGTGTGTATGGATGGCAGGACAGTGAAGAAGAGGTGCCGACGTGGTGAAGAGGCCCTCCTGTGAGAGTGTGAGACTCCTGTCTTCCTGCCCAGTTGAAGGAGAGTTGGAGGTCGTGGAAGAAGAGGCTGACGATCTCCAGACTCATTATCCATATTCCATATTCATGTATTACTTGTGATTGTGTGTGTGTGTTCATGTAATTTGCGTCAGTAAATCCACACATTTTATTACTGTGTTTGAGTGTGCCTCCATTTGTGATACTTCTCTATGAGCATACATTTCTGGCTACAAACGATATATGATACACCCACTGAACTGCATTGCTGGGGTGCAGATATAATAACCCAGCTGGCGACCTTGCTAAGAGGAAGATAGAGAAGACAGGCGGGAAAGGAGTTCCTGCAACCTTTTTTTTGTCTGGCAGGCAAGACTCAGGGAGGTTATGGTTATAGGTAAGCCTGAGTCTTCCTTCACTCCCCCACGGGTCTAGGCCGGAACCGTTAACAGCAGTTTCCCCGTGTCTGACTGAAGGGCTTCCAGGGTGAATCAGTGGCACCCCTTTGTGGTGGAAGCAAAGACCTGCGGAGGTGGGCATTGTTGGTCCTCTCTTGTGTGACCAAGGAGACTCCGGTGAATCCCGGGAGTCGGAGGGGCTGAGTATTTGGGCCTTTGAGCCCCTAGCAGCCGAGTGTTAGCAGAGCCCCGGACCGCCCACCCCCACGTGACACCACTCTACTTTACGTTAAAAGCCTTGGTCCACATAGGCAGGATACAAGGTTTTACAATTACCAAAACTAGGGTAAAGTCTACTTGAATAGGGCACTAGCAAAGGCTATAGGTAGCCTGGGGCAACTTGAACACACGTGGTTTCACTACACCACCTGGAGCAATCTTAGGAATATAAACACTAGCTATGGCTACACAAACTACTACACACTTTTGCCAGAGAACGGTACACGATATACAATACTTATCTTGAAGAGAATCAGGATATGGTAAGGAGAGAGAAAGAGAGAGGGTAAAGGAGTACAGAACCCATGAGGGGGAGTGTGAACCCAATCACAGCCAGCACCAGAAACAAGCGACCCAGCGTCCTCCTGCCTCCCACTCTACTTCCTGCCGGACAGATATTCAGCCGATCGTACAGCAGACATCAACCCAATTTTACTCAGACATTCCTTCCTAGTTCCCCTAATCATTCTAAGAATAGCTGATAATTTGTTCAATGTTATATTTAATCAACAACAAGCTCAGAGTCTGAATGCTCTGTGAGAAACAAGATTCGTCTTACGTCTGGCAAGGAAGATAGGAACAAAAACGCGTCTGCAGTCCTATCAATTAATGTAAAATAATTATTTAGAGCTCAATTTGACCTCTGGTTTCCAACTAAGGAAACCAGGGTCGTAACAAACTACACATTTGACACATTATAGTTTGCTAACGTTTAGGTTTGATCTGGTAATTTAGGACGGTGAGAAGCATCATCAAACGTTCACGACTAGTGAGTGGAGTCATTGTTATTTTATACTTTATTTCATATTTTTGAAGAACTTAAAAAGCAAGCAATGTTGCAGAAAGACTACTGCCCCATAGTCCTGGGGGCCGGACTATTAAGTCCTGTTACGATCCACTAGCAATAACAAGATACTGCAGCCTTGATAGTTTATTGTGATCTATTAGAATTACTCTTGACCTATTGGTTTTTCGTGACCTACACTGAAAGTCCCCATCACACAGGATGGTTAGTCATACAGGGCTATACGATCAGAAGCCTACACTGGCAAATTTTGGGTGCAATATGAGGATATCCTCAAGAACACGGGAGTGAATAAAGTAATTGCAAAGCTCCAGGTACCTCATGCCAACGGGTCTGAATGGTCTGATAACTGGGCATTCGGTGATGTAGTGTGGGAGATCATGCCGCAGTTACTGCTCATAAAGTTTGCACCTGGAGTGCTCAGGATTGGGAGATCCGTCACCTGTAGCCACCTGCCACAGGTAACGGTAACCCAACCTGAGTCTGGCAACCACTGTGTCGCACAGTCTGGTGGACGTTTTGTGCTGCCCATAAACATAGGTTTCAGATCTGAACAAATCATAGCTTCTTATACTGGTGTTTTCAGGTCGTTGGGAGTCAGTAATTTCTCTCTTATCAGACCTGAGTGTTTGGTACAATATAGTTTTGACAGCAGAGATGGGGATACCTAGATCTAATTTAAATTCATCTTTGTTACACACTAATTCAGTATCACTTCTACCTTATTCACTCCTGTGTTGATGATATCCTCATAATGCACTCAGAGTCTGCCAGTGCAGACTACTTATCACGTGCCTCTGTATGACTAACCATCCTGTGTGATGTGGATTTTAGAATCACGTAGCTAGCTTTGTGACACACTGTACTCCCCTTCATATAGTCTAGGGTAGCTGCACAAATACAGATATACCTAAATGTGTTAATAAACAAAAATAATGACCCACATATGTTACTCTTTTGGACAATAACCATTGTTAGCTTATTGGAAGTAATGGAACAATATTTTGTTTTATACTTAAAAAAGTTTCAATGATTATTCCTTTTGACCTACAGGTTGCGATTCTTGAAGCAATGAATGGATCTATCAGTGGATTATTCCACAAGCTAAGCCTGCCCGTTGAAGACCACAAGTGCTTCCCTGGGTACTCTGCGAAGCTGCCCTTCAGCAACCTCTACAGGAAGTTGTTTATCAATAACACAGGCAATGGTATAGTGTTGTCCAACTCACGGCTGCGGCATTACCCACTCAGCGTGTCTTCTTACGTCGAAGATTGTCCGTGTCCTTCACATTTACTGGTTCCATTAAGGGATCTGTTTCGTCATGAGTTGCCTTTTCGACAAGACATCATTGACAAAGCTAAAGAGCGGCTTGATAATGCTGTTAAAAGTCTGCACAACAATACTTCACAAAATATTACAGTAGTTACTGTTCATGTTCGTAGAACCGACCATCTTTCTTTTATCAAAGGTGCATACAACTTAGATCCCTTGGATAAGACATATTTTCAACGGGCATTTAATTTCTACAGGAACAGGTAAGTTAGATGGAATAATTTACATCAACTAAATTAACCGTAAGACTGATTATAATTACCTTGACGCCACTCTTTTTAATTCATGGTCAAAAACTAGCTATATCTACACTGTAATCTTTTGTAAACAATAGGATAGCAGCACATTGCTGTTTGCTGCTACCATCAACTCATTCTAAGCTTGTTAATACCCAATTTTTTTTTTTAATTTTAAACATTTAATTTTGTGTCTACTAATTCATGAAACTCAAATTTTTTTGCTTGTTTTATGCCGAGAAAGGAGACAGTGGTAGTATTAAATATTGTTTGTTACATATGATACAATTGTTGAAGCTTACCATCATGTTACATTGATATTTCTTATATCTATTTTTGATTCTAGTATAGCTAATATATAAATATTGTCTTCTTTATAAATGTCTAAAATTTATATAAGGCCTATCGTGTAAAATATTTGTCAATATAATTATACATTATAATGCTTTCAGTATTAATGGAAACACAATATCGAACAAATGGAAAAGACAATGCAAGCAAAGACAAAAGTTATAACAGTAAACACATTAATTTGATATATTAAGAAAGAGGAGATACAAAACTAATAAATATAATGGGAAAATCAGTAGAAGCTATGTGGACGATTCGAACCCAAACACTTGGTACTTCCAAGCCCACGCCCTGGACTAGTATGTTCAAAAGTACTGCTACCCGAGATTCAACTGAACCCTTTAGGGGTCCTGAGGCTTCCAATGAAACTAAGTCGGGGTTGCAGTACCCCCTAGAGGATTGAGCTGAATTCCAGGTTGCATTACTTTTTCAAGCATATTGTGGCATAGTGGTTTAGGGCGTATACTTGGGAGTACAGAGTATACAAGTTCAAATCCATCCCATGGCTCCTGTTTTTCTCAATAATAATAAATAAAACAAACACTTTTATAATGTTTGTTTTGAGTACTTCATATCTAGATCGTGAACCACTTAATGGCAAGTAAATAACTAAATATTTTACAGGAGATGTTTCCAAGGACTTCTGCATTTTTCATTATGCATTTTCTGGCAATATCATGTACATTGTTAACATGCATTACAGTTGTATTACAATACACCCAGAAATCACAATAGCGTGATATATCAAATGAACAAATCCAAAAGGGCCTTGAATTGCACTCCAGGTTGCAATTCTTTTTACCATGTCTTGGTACAGTTGACTAAGGCGCATTTGGGATCATCCCGTGCGTAGGTTCGAACCTTCATTAAGGCCCCCTGTGGATTTGTTCAGTTGTATTACAACTTTATTAAAATAATTGTTGTTGATGTTCCACAGAACAGCTGTTCCAGTGTTCGTGGTGACCAGTGATGACCCCAAGTGGTGCCAAAGCAATATTATGGACAAGGATGTTGTTTATGCTGGTAAAAAGTGTGATGGTATTGGTAACTGTGATAGCACTGCAGCACTGTGATATTGGTAATGTTGGTGGTATTGGTAATGGTGACGTTGGTGGTATCAGTCAGGTAGCAGTAATGGTATGGGTAACATTGGTGGCATTGGTAACGTGTTATGATTACATGTGAACATAGCCTAGGCTGCCTTCAGGTGAGAGTTGTTCCTGGATGTTCCTGGATGTTCCTGGATGTTCCTGGATGTTCCTGGATGTTCCTGGATGTTCCTGGATGTTCCTGGATGTTCCTTCCATATTTGAGGCTCTGTACATATTGCGATATGGTTAATAAATGAAAGTAGGTTAATAAGATCAAGAATCATGAGGTTCTTGTAAGTTAAAGAGGAAATATTGTGAGGAGGAGGAGTCAGAAGTCGATGTACCTCGTCTTGAACAAGGCTGGGATTCCTAAGGAGGTCCAATGTGCATGCGAGTGGATCTAGACTGTTAGAGAAGGCGATGTGGACCAATCAATGTCTTGCAAAACGGTGACGTCACACCGAGAGGACGCTGATGGGAGGTAAAATCGTCTCTTCACTTCCAACAAAGAGAGCTAGAGGACGTCTTGTCTCTACACCCGTCCTTACCTGTGCTAGTTTCGACAATTTGACGCTTGTGAGAAGGCCCGACCGACCAAGAATAGTTAAGGCCGAGATTTCCAGGAGGAACGTAATCCAGAAGCTGTTCTCGTATGTTGCCGGATTCGCCAGGATTGTGAAGAAGTTGAGATGAGGTCGTGTCACATTGCGGCTACCGGGAGCTTGACACACAACTAGGTGAGCACAACTAGGTGAGCACACTGAGGAGGTCATTTGTCGTGAAGAGGGCGACAGTCTTCGACAGCTGCACCTAAAGCAGAGGCGGGGGGATGGGACACAAGAAGGTGTCACCGTGACAAGGATTCCACATCAAAGAAATCTCGGAAGGATAATGAAAATAAATAGGAGCCAAAGAGAAGAGGCTCGGTTATCGTCAAGTGATTTCTTCAGTAGCCGCACCTAAGAAGATGAGGTGAGGCTGAGACACAAGAAGGCTTCACCGTGGCAACAGTTCCACGCTGAAGAAAACTTGGAAGGATAACGAAGATCAATAGGAACCAGAGAGAAATGACTCGGCGATCGTCAAGTGTCATACACCATCGACCAGTGGACAGAAGCTGACGTGACGGTACGATTACAAGTACCAGAGATAATAGCCTGTAGTGTCTTTGAGGGATTTAAGTGGTCAGTGAGGGACTAGAACATAATTCCTAGTGGCCAAGGCCGTCAGCCGAGTGAGCGGCTGTGAAGTGTTTTAATGAAATAATGGAAGGTTGAGGCCCAAGGGGGGTTGTGAGGAACGAGCCCATAATGAGATACTTTAAAGATTTACAAGAGTGTGGGCCGAGAGTTATAGCCATGTGCAAACAGTGAGGGTTGCAGAGTCCCTGTGTAAGGGACTCTGATATATAAAGATATAGGATGAGAGTGGAGGGGCCAAGAGACAGAGCCCCGGGCGAACAGTGAGGCTCGCCAAATTCCTGTGTGAATGAGAGACTATTTTGTGCGATTACCGGAATTCGAGAGCTACCGAGAATTTGTAGAGATTTCCACGATTAAGGTGGGGCCCAGATCTGATTACCAGAGTGTGTAATGGTGAAGACACGTCCCTGGATATAAACGGAAAATACAGGTATAGACAGTTACAGGTAAATTTACCAGTGGAACAAAGGACACGCCAGGACTATACGTGGCGGACGAGAGTACAACTGATCTTGAGTTGTCAAATCTCGTCAACCAGAAGTTAGCTTAGTTCATTTATTGTGCACCCCATGCTCATCTTGTGGGCAGTAGTGGAAAGGGTTACAGAGGCACATAATGGGCTCAGGGACTGAACCCAATAATTCATTTAGCTGAACAAGTTACAATCTTGATGAGCTAGTTACAAAATTCAATATACGTCGTCACATTACCAATGGGTTCGAGATCAACCAAAAGTACAGTTTCTAAATGAAGCAACTGACATATGTGGAGAGCTAGTGTCACAATTGATATGTTTATCCTGCACACCGCCCCCCCCCCCATCCAGTGGGCAGCGGTGGATAGGTTACAATCACTTAGTTACTACCTACAGTTAGCAAACTGGGGATATTTGGCTAAAATTTAATGTAGCAGATAATTTTGAATTAAATATTTGCACATCTTTGGAACATTTGTTACAGAATTGTCTCTAAATTCACGTATCTTTTCGCACTCCATCACATAGTGACGGAGGGTGTGCGAATAACTGTGTTGACACAGTTTACATTTGGTCAGGTCTACATCGGCAGGTAATAAGAATTCCCAGAGATACTTGTAACCGAGTCTAAGCCGAGCAGTAGTAACATCTAGAAGTCTGCTGATTTTATTGGATGATCCATAGATGTGTGACTCATCTTGCATGACAGTATGATGATAGATGGAATTACTGGTGTCGATTTCACTTTGCCTCAGATCTACAAGATTTTCTTGAAGTTCTTGGTGTACTATTGCTCTCAGACTGCTTATTGACAATCCAAGGTTATATTTAATTTCTCCTTTAAAGGCAGATTCTTTGGCTAACTCATCAGCTCTATCATGCATTCGGAGGCCAACATGAGATGGAGTCCACATGAAATGGACTCTATTACCATCATTAATAATTTTGTTGTATTTGTGTCTAGCTTCAGACATGAGCATGTTACAGTTATGTCTTAAAGAGTTGAGAGAAAGTAAGGATGATAAAGAGTCACTTATAATTAATGTGTCAAGTTTGGAGACTTGTACACATTTCTGTGCAAGAAGCAAGGCAAGTAGTTCGGTCTGAAGGGTAGAGGCCCAGTTGTTTTGAAAGCTCCCCACTCAAAATAGAAATGTAAATATACCAATTCCAGGCAAAATGAAATAATGGAGTGAATTAGAATTACTTCACGTCTGAGTGAGATATAGGAAATATATTTGGCCAGGCCTTGGAGAGACAGCTCCCCTGACATCCCTCATGCATATAGTTGCAGAATCCTCAGTAGCAAATAGTCTGGACTACCGAAAATAACAGCGAAAGAAATTTAATTATGTGAATAATATATTACTGGGGTTAATTTTATGATTATACATAGATTAGATTAAAGAAATGAATAATGCAATACTCACTTAGTTATGTTTGCGGGGGTTGAACTCTGGCTCTTTGGTCCCGAGTTCAACTTCCGCAAACACAACTAAGTGAGTACTGCATTATTCATTCCTTTAATCTAATCTATATATAATCATAAAATTAACCCCAGTAATATATTATTCACATAATTAAATTTCTTCCGCTGTTATTTTTGGTACTCCAGACTATTTGCTACTGAGGATTCAGTGAATGCCAATGTTAGAGTGAGAAAGTACCATTTAAATATAGTTATATATAAATGATTTATTAGTCGTAACTAGGAGTAAAATAATTTTTGGCAGTGAATAGGATTTTGTATGTGAAAAATCCAGAGTTTTACACAACTCCAGTGCATGGGGGGAGTTGTGTAAAACCCTGGTTTCTGTCTCGGAGAGACTGCAAGATCCAGTAAGTTCTGTAGAACTTCGGTTTCAACTCCTTTGATCATGTCGTAGCTCAGTCGATTAAGGCAGCGTCTGGGATGCTCTTGGACGCAGGTTCGAATCCTCGTCACGGTCCTTGTGAATTTGTTCATTTAATCATGGAAATATTATATAATAATTACTTTTTACCAGTTTCTACAAGAGTCCTCTCAAACAATGTTTTTGGTTTTCAATTTTTAAATGTTGTTGAGTGTTGAAAGTCCTCTTATGTATATTCCGTAATGAAATCACAATGGCGTGATATATCAGTGAACATCATTCCAGACCCTCCTTAACTGACTCGCCGCGGAGGATCACAAAGTTAACCAACGTGCATTATTATATTTTCTCCATTTTTAAAGTATAATTTATGTGTCAATAGCCGTGTTAAAATTCCTATAAAGTTTTGTATTAAATTAGTCTAATTATTATGACTTTAGTAATCTTATAGCTGTCACGTTTGAGCCAATAGCGAAGGATAACAAATCCTTTTGCCCAAGATATTTAGATTTTTTTTATCTTGATCTGGAAACTTTACCCGGCATATCTGAGGTGACTTTACTGGGGCTACAATTTACTGTAGCAACAAAGGGGTGTTCGCCTTTTCGTAAGTAAGTGGAACAGTTGAATATTTTCATATGTCTTTTCAAGACATATGAAAAATTATAATTTCAAGTTACATATAACAATTATCCAAATTGCACTTTTCTGACTTGCAGGAAGCCGTGATCCTGTCTCCGACCTGGTCTTGCTGTCCCTCGGAGACCACCATGTGATAACATATGGAACTTTTGGTTTCGTCAGCGCCTTCCTTGGCAGAGGCATCATCGTTTACCCAGACCCAACTGGCTGGCCTGTTTTTCCTTGTTTCAATTCAACAATCATTCAACCAATCAACAGAGATTAGTGCTAACTATCACCTAGTTGCTGCCATCATAACATCAGGATGAACAACCCAACAGGTTTTCTTCCTATTGGGGAGTGTTGAACATGCTGTTATGGCGGTGTGTTCACTCACAGGATGTGTGGCGCTGCCCAATAAACTCACCCCTCAGGGCAAAAATTAAAACAAAAAATCTCATTAATCGTAACGGAACAGTGTGCAGCCAGTGTCTTATATATTCTAAGTCCTTCAGTAACCTCAATAAGGTTATTGAGCGACTAACAAACCGCTCTTTGATTGAAAGAAACAGATTTTAGTTAATCCCGCTCGGTTGTTGCAGGAGGTAAGCTGTCCCACTGTCTCTAATCAAAACAATAATTTAATTTTAGTTTATCTTAACATATATAAAAGGTTGCCTTGTTCATTTGTTACGTTCTGGATTCCAAGCTGTGGGTGTGCGAGTTTAAGATTCCATAGCTATGCAAGATAACGAGGTGTATATAAAATGAATTATAAGGAATGAATAGACGTCGGACCTATATTACATAAGAACAAAGGTAACTGCAGAAGGTCTATTGGCCCATACGAGGCAGCTCCGATTTATAAGCACCCATATACAGGTCCAACCCACGTTTGAAACAATCGAGGGACCCCACCTCCATCACTTTACGCGGTAATTGGCTCCACAAATCAACACCCCTGTTACCGAACTAGTATTTACCAAGGTCTTTCCTAAATCTAAACTTAAGCAATTTATACACATTGTTTCGTGTTCTGTCTTGTATTAATACTTTTAATACCCTATTAATATTCCCTTCGTTATGTCCATTCATCCACTTGTAAACCTCTATCTGCAGTCATCAGGAGGACAAATCCTTCATGCAAACTGCACCTACTATCAAGAAGAGAAACCTCTATCATGACACCCCTAACTCTTCGCCTTTCCAGTGAATGCAATTTAAGCTTTATTATTACTTTTGTATTTTATTATTTATGTGATAAATAATAAATGCTCCCTAACTAATGGATTATTATATAAACCAGTATTAAGATCTCATATTTTCCAGCACAAGAAGACATTCGTTAATAAATGTAACGATTAAATGGTACCTGGATATAATGTTGGGAAAGGAAGAGAAAGTTGCGTGTGCTTCACATGGCTTTATTCCAACAGCAAACAATGACGTCACCGGTTCGGTATATGTTACATGACATCCTATTTACAATACTTATAAACAAAAGTAAGTAAGTAATTATCAAAAGAAGGCACCAAACCGGGAAGGCTATGTAGCACCACCAAATGTGCGGAATTATATCAGAGGGCGCTAAATATTACCAAGGATGCCAATACGAGAACAAAAACGCATAAGGCGAACGATATCGAAAGTATCCGAGTCACCAAGAATTCTATTGAGGGACACGAGACCGGGAGGGGCAGTCGGAAAGCAAGACACACGCTCGTCTTGGAAGTCAGGACATTCAAGAAGGACATGCACGACCGTAAGAGGGATAATGCAATTAGGACAATAAGGAGCAGGGCGGTGCTCCATCAAGTGACCATGGGTTAAGCAGGTATGGCCAATATGCAACCTCATCAGAGCCGTTTCCCATCGCCGGTTACGGTGGTAGGAGGACGGCCACGAGGAAACACAGCATTACCAATCTCCCAGTTGCATCTGTAACCTAGACGTAGTCCATATAACAAATGTTTCAAATTCAAATTAAAATGTTTATTCGGGTAAAGTACATACATACTAGGGGTGATACAAATATTGCTGAATTTATAGATAGAGCTAGTACATACAATGCCTAAATCCACTATCACGCAAAGCGTTTCGGCAGAAACGAATAACCTAACTGTAGAATAACCTAACCTAGGTTAGGTTATGTTAACCTAGAATAACCTAGCAGAAAAGAATAACCTAACTGCTATTTCCCTGTGGATTCCTTTTGGGATATTTAACCTTTCTAATTTGCAAGAAGAAGAAAGTACAATGGGTTGGTTAAATTACATAAGATTGGTATTTTTACATTCATGCAATGCCACTAACACGCATAGCGTTTCGGGCAGGTCCTTACTCTAACATATCAGGCACGATGAAAGGGTACATTGTAGCAAGATTTTTATATCATCAAATAACTACAATATAAGTTGACAGAGATGATTACCATGGTAAGGATATATATCTTAAGTACTAATAATAGTACCTTTTATTACAAATTCGCTACTTTTAGTCCTTCAGCTCGTTACTTGCAGAAATTCAGATTTGGCAACCCTGCAGCAGAGATCGGCTGTAATGTTTACCAACAACAGCTGAGCTGGTTCCTGCTCCCGTAGTTGGCCATGTTATCTTCATCAAATGAAGATTTATATTGGCAATTTTGATATTTGAGGTAAGTTGCAATGTCCATATAGTAATTTGTTTCGTAGAGAGAAGCTGTAATTGCGTCAGAAAACTGGAGTACTTGTCAAATGTTGCTGTGAGGTAACCAGTCTCACTGAGGTGATGGAGTGAGACATTACTATGGGGTACCGGTCCTACTGTGGTGGTAGGGGAGCGCCCGGAGACATTACTGTGGGGGTACTAAAATCACTGGTGATGTGGCAGACATTATTATGATGTACCAAAGCCACTGGTGATGTGACAGACATTATTATGGGGTACCAAAACCACTGGGGATGTGGCAGACATTATTATGATGTACCAAAGCCACTGGTGATGTGACAGACATTATTATGGGGTACCAAAACCACTGGGGATGTGGCAGACATTATTATGGGGGTACCAAAACCACTGGTGATGTGGCAGACATTATTATGGGGTACCAAAACCACTGGTGATGTGGCAGACATTATTATGGGGAACCAAAACCACTGGGGATGTAGCAGACATTATTATGATGTACCAAAGTCACTGGTGATGTGGCAGACATTATTATGGGGTACCAAAACCACTGGGGATGTGGCAGATATTATTATGATGTACCAAAGCCACTGGTGATGTGGCAGACATTATTATGGGGTACCAAAACCACTGGTGATGTGGCAGACATTATTATGGGGTACCAAAACCACTGGGGATGTGGCAGACATTATTATGATGTACCAAAGCCACTGGTGATGTGGCAGACATTATTATGGGGTACCAAAACCACTGGGGATGTGGCAGATATTATTATGGGGTATCAAAACCACTGGGGATGTGGCAGATATTATTATGGGGTACCAAAACCACTGGGGATGTGGCAGATATTATTATGGGGTTCCCACTATGGTGATGGGGGAGACATTACTATGGAGTACCAGTCTCACTGGTGGTGGGGAGACATTACTATGGGCTTCTTACCTATCAGTACTTACCTATCAGTGACTGGGGAAGTGAGGTCTAGCTCTTTAAACCAGGTGGCTTGTTGTTGGTACTAACCTTGTTGTACCCATTGTGCTAAAAGCTTCACTATTCTAACAATCACTCTGTCAAATCTTTCCTTAAAGTTGTGAATGGAGGTGGCTTCCACAACTTTTTCTCATAGTGCATTCCACTTGGTGATCATTCGTACAGAGTACGAGTGTTTCCTTAAATTTCTTTTGACTCGTTTGCGATCCAGGTTTCATTTGTGTCGTCTTGTCCTACTGTCTTTAAACTTAAAGAGGCTGTCCAGTCCCACTGTAATAGTGGTGGAGACATTACTATGGGGGTATCAGTCCTACTGGACTAATATGTCCGACTGGGAGAAACGTTATTTTTTTTATTTTCTTCATAGATGTTCAATAGATACATTTACAATACTAACTAGCGTATATACATTTTCTTCTGTTGTTCATGGATAGGGTTGAGATCTGTTAAACATATAGTTCAGTGATTAATTAATTGAACAATCAACCATAGAAGGTGATTGTAGTGTTTTTAAAATGCTTACCTAATTACCGTACATACATAAATGCATACATTAATACAAATATTTATGTCTGTCCTACATAGTGTTGGAGGTATGTTCTTTTATACATAATGTGATTCATGTGTGTGTTTACAAAGATGATTGATTGATGAAGATTAAGCCGCTCAAGCGGTGGCACGGGCATGAATAGCCCTTAATTACAAAAGTGAAATGTATTTCTTACTAGCTTATACATACATACATACATACATACATACATACATACATACATACATACATACATACATGTATATATATATATATATATATATATATATATATATATATATATATATATATATATATATATATATATATATATATATATATATATATATATATATATGAGAGAACTCGTGTCCAGCTTATAAGCCTATACTTGCATAAACCACAAGTGAAGATATATATCTATGTATATAAGTGCATAAACCACAAGTGAAGATATATATATATATATATATATATATATATATATATATATATATATATATATATATATATATATATATATATATATATATATATATATATATATATATGTCGTACCTAGTAGCCAGAACGCACTTCTCAGCCTATTATGCAAGGCCCAATTGGCCTAATAAGCCAAGTTTTCATGAATTAATTGTTATTCGACTACCTAACCTAACCTAACTTTTTCGGCTACCTAACCTAACCTAACCTATAAAGATAGGATAGGTTAGGTTAGGTAGGGTTGGTTAGGTTCGGTCACATATCTACGTTAATTTTAACTCCAATAACAAAAATTGACCTCATACATAATGAAATGGGTAGCTTTATCATTTCATAAGAAAAAAATTAGAGAAAATATATTAATTCAGAAAAACTTGGCTTATTAGGCAAATCTGGCCTTGCATAGTAGGACGAGAAGTGCGTTCTGGCTATTAGGTACGACATATATATATATATATATATATATATATATATATATATATATATATATATATATATATATATATATATATATATATATATATATATATATATATATATATATATATATATATATATATATATATATATAATATATATATATACAGTAGTGCGTTCTGGCTACTAGGTACGACATATATATATATATATATATATATATATATATATATATATATATATATATATATATATATATATATATATATATATATATATATATATATATATATATATGTCGTACCTAGTAGCCAGAACGCACTTCTCAGCCTACTATGCAAGACCCAATTTGCCTAATAAGCCAAGTTTTCATGAATTAATTGTTTTTCGACTACCTAACCTACCTAACCTAACCTAACCTAACATTTTCTGCTACTTAACCTATAAAGATAGGTTAGGTTAGGTTAGGTAGGGTTGGTTAGGTTCGGTCATATATCTGCGTTAATTTTAACTCCAATAAAAAAAAATTGACCTCATACATAATGAAATGGGTAGGTTTATCATTTCATAAGAAAATAATTAGAGAAAATATATTAATTCAGGAAAACTTGGCTTATTAGGCAAATTGGGCGTTGCATAGTAGGCTGAGAAGTGCGTTCTGGCTGCTAGGTACGACATATACATATATATATATATATATATATATATATATATATATATATATATATATATATATATATATATATATATATATATATATATATATATATATATATATATATATATATATATATATATATATATATATATATATATATATATATATATATATATATATATATATATATATATATATATATATATATATAATACACACACACACACAAGTCTCTCCTACTTTGACAAGGCAAGATAGCTGCTATAGAAAGTAGTTATTGAACACCTAACCATAGAGGATGATTTAAGATTCATTTACAAGATCAAATTTTAGTTACTTCACATATATTACCTAACTGATGCATTACATAGTCAATCTTGGGTACATGTCCAGTATATCATAAAGTGTTCCAGTTAGATAGTATTTACAGAGTTCAGCATATCTCAACCCAAGGGAATGAAAGTCGGTCAATATGGGACATTCTACAATATAATGTTCAAGGAAATTCATGTTTTCTTTTTCACAAATTTGACGCATGGTGTATTCGACATTTGAGTTTTGAGAAAGCTGCCAGTTATGTCTATATCCCAGGTGTATTCTGGCCACTATAGCATCATATTTGCAAAGTTCTTACTCTATTAGTGTCATATTATATATAACTGAATAAGTGAATTATATATTAATGTATCTTCATGGTATTCATCAAAATGTTAACCACTGTACTGCACAACCCATGATATCATGGGGAATGGGGTGTAATTACCTAAGTGTAATTACGTAAGTGTAGTTATAGGATGAGAGGTATGCTCATGGTGTCCTGTCTTCCCCGCACTCTTTGTCATATAATGCTTTGAAACTACTGACGGTTTTGGCCTCTATCAACTTCTTGCCTAACTTGTTCCACCTGTTTACCACTCTGTTTGTGAAAGTAAATTTTCTTATATTGCTTCAGCTGTTTGCTTTGCTTAAATCTATGACCTCTTGTTTGTGAAGTTCCATGTCTTAGGAATTCTTCCCTATCAATTTTATCAATTCCCATTACTATTTGTACGCAGTGATCATATTGCCTCTATTTTTCTTCTACTCTTCTAGTTTTGGTATACTTAATACCTCTAACTACTCCTCTTAGCTTTTGTCTTTTAGTTCCAGGAGCCATTTCGTTGCATGTCTTTGCACCTTTTCTAGTTTGTTGATGTGTTTCTTAAGATATGGGCACTGCATATTCCAGTGTTAGTCTCACAAAGGTCATGAACACTTTCTTTAATATTGCACCATCCATGTATTTAAAAGCTATTCTGAAATTGGAAAGAGTAGCATAAGCTCCTTGCATGATGTTCTTTATGTGATCCTCAGGTGATAGTTTTCTATCTAGAACCACCCCTAGATCTGTTTCTATCAGAATTTTTTTTAAAGATTTCTCACATAATTTATAGGTTGTTTGGGGGTCTATGTTCTCCTATTCCACATTCCACAACAGCATTTATTCACATTAAATTCCATTTGCCAAGTGGTGCTCTATACATTTATTTTGTCCAGGTCTTCTGGAAAGGTATGATAATTATCTAAGTTTCTTATTTTCCCTATTATCTTAGCATCATCAGCAAACATGTTCATATAATTCTGTATTCCATCTGGTAGATTGTTTATGTAGACAATTAACATTACCGGTTCAAGAACTGAACCCTGTGGTACTCCACTCGTGACATTTCTCCAGTCCAATACATTTCCTCTGATTACTGCCCTCATTTTTCTGTCGGTTAAAAAATTTGCATTCCATGTTAGAAGCCTACCTGTCACTCATCCAATATGTTCCAGTTTCTAGAACAATCTCTAATGTGGAACTCTGTCGAAAGCCTTTTTTAGGTCCAGATAGATGGACTTAATCACAGATAAACCCAACCATCTCTTTCCT